AAATAAATAAAATCTTTAAAAAAAAAAAAAATCTAGGATAGCTGAACTTTGGTCCCCAATGCCTGGCCTCTGAGACAAATCCCTTCCACTGCCATAAGCACCTGCAACCCCTGACCTATGGAGGTTGTGTTTATGCCGGGCATCCTGTGCCTCTGTCCTGGCAGCCTCCAGGGTGTGACCCTTGCCCTCCTGCCACTTTGCAACTGCTCCAACATCTGCCAGACCACAGACCCAGGTAGGACCAAACCTCTCCCTCTGCAGGAGGAATCCCCCTCCCCACCATTGGCGTATTCAGCACACATGGAACTCTCATGTGGGCAATGACATTTTCTCAACCTGGAGAAGAGAGCTTGGGAAGAAGAGGTTGGGAGGGAGGTAGAGTCACCACAGGCAAGAGAGGAACAGATAGGGGTACAAAAGAGTATCCTGGCCTACCTGCAGAACAGAAAAGACAGAGAAGAAAGGAAGGGGCCTCCACAGGGAGATATAAAGAGATAGGTCTGATCCTAGTCCTACCTTCCAGCTGTGGGCCTGAGCTTGCTGCCCCTCAGCCATCTGCTTCAGCAGCAGCTCCTGGTGCTGGCCTTCAGATGAGAGAAAAATGTAAGGAAGCTATTCTCCAACTTCTTTCCTTTCCCCTCCCTGCCTTGTGCCTAGCCTGGTGCTGACAACTGAGACAGGGTATTCTGTTGTAGCTATTGGGAAGCTTCCAAGCTGACTGGGGAGACTGGACTCACACCATGGAGGTAAGACAAAACACTTGGCCAGACTTCTGAGCAGCTCAAGCAATCAGAGCTATGGCCACTTACTGGGATAGCAAAAAGACTCTCCAGAAAAGAGAACAGGTGATTTTGTACCCACCCCCCATCTTTTACTCACTCAGCTAGTCCCGCAGCAGCTTCAGCTCCTCCCAAAGAAGCTCTGATTCCTCCCACAGGAGTTGCCGCCTACACAGATGACAGCCATGTTAACCTAAAGCCCATCAACAAGCCCAGAGGACACTACCAGGAGTTAGAGGCCTGAAGAAGGAGAGAACTTGCCCATCACATACTCATTCTGCAGCTCTTGGTGAAGGCCACTAGAAGCACTGCACTTTCGTGGTCCTGTTTGTATTTGGGCTTGGGCCTGTTCCTGCACCTGGCTTTGAAGGCCCTGCAGTTCCCTTCTCAGTCCCTCCAGGCATTGCTCCAGGAGAAGGGCCCTCTGCTCTGGGCCTCCCTGCAGCAACCTTAGTGATGCTGTAGTGGGACAAGTTGAGCATCAGCCCTCCTGAGAGCTTTACACATGAGCCTAGACACTCCCCTTGCAAATCAAGACATAAGTAAGTGCACAGGAGGTGTGTAACAAAATCGTGTGCGTACATAATGAGCTATGCATATGAAAAAAAGAACTGGCCAGATACATTCCAGGGCACAGATCTGGTATTTCTGCTGCTCTCGCTCTTCCAGCAGCCCCTGTACGGCCTTAGTGCCTCAGTCACCTACCCAGGCAAGAAAAACCACATGAGCTACTGTGTAAAGGGCTTCCCCAACCCCTGATATCCTCATCTCACACAAACACCACACATAAAACCTAGGGGTGCACGCTTTACCTGAGCCTGGGATTGAAGCTGGGATCGGAGAATAGTAACTTCATCCCAGAGAGAAGCTGCTCTTTGGGTCTCAGCCCAACTCAGCCTCTCTGGAACAAAGGGAGTCTCTAGAGCCCAAGGTTGTGGAGCTTGGACACCAGACTATGGAGGCAAGTGATGAGGGGAAATCCAGGTCCCAGCCAGGTCTCCTGTGGAGGGAATAAGTAAGGGACAATTGTGAGGGCTATCTTTGGGGGGAAACACAGATATTTGTTCAGGAAAGAAAACAGTTGGAATTTGGAAGGAACAGTGGATGGTACAGGCACTGGAAAAAGGCAGATCCTGGAAAGAGAAAAGGCTGTAGGGTAGAAAAGGGACAACACTTACCTTCTGTGGAGACTCCAAGAGGATACAGTCGCTGCTACAAAAGAAACAAGTGCACAGGCCAATAAGCTCTGAGTGTCCCTAAACCCAAAACTCCAAATGGGGGCCCTTAGGCGCCCCCTCACCTTAATCCTGGCCACATTTCCATCAGTAGCATTGAGAAGTGCGTCGAGGTGCTCAGCCCAGCTCAGGCTCCTACTCATAACCTTCTGGGAGGCTGCCTCCTGGCGTCTTGTGCCCTTGCTCTCCCAGCCCGGAATACCCGAGGTACAGCCCAATAAAGCCACACGTCAGACAGAGAGTTGGGAATCGGGGATGTAATCCTAAAGGTAGGGATGCAGTATCAAGCCGAAACTGGGACTAGTCAGGGGAACAGCGCTTGGGGTAAGTAGGGGAAAAGCGAGATACTCTGGTATGCAGATACCAGGTGGGAGTTGAGAGTGCCAAATCTTGTTCGAGACCTCTCCAGATCCAAGACACAGGCGTCATCTCGCCGAACCTGTGCCAGCGAGTACAGCCGCCACCCGGTTCAAACCCTCTTTATAGACCGGGAAAGTCCGACTTCGGACTTGCAGCCGCAGCGCCACTTGGTCAACTGAGTTCATCTCTCCCGGAAACAACCGGCGATGGAGGATACCGAACTACGTTTCTCTGGAAGCGACACGAACATTCAAACCCCCACCGTGAAGCTTGCCGGGAAACTGAGGCTTTCGAATTCTGTAGTTGTTGTCTTCAAGGACCAAGTGAACTACATATCCCAGGATGCATGGCACCGAGTCACCGCTATTCCGCCGCTGGTCCCAGTAGTTCTTGGGAAATGGAGTCCGAGCTACCTTGAAACTTAACGGACCAGGTTATCCTTGAGACTCCATTCCCCAGCAAGCTCTGCGCGGAGCGTGCGCTATGGAGCCTCAAGTCGCAGAACTGAAGCGGACTATCGAGGACACGTTGTGTCCTTTTGGCTTCGAGGTTTACCCGTTTCAGGTTGGTTTATCCCTCCTGCGGTACGGGGCGAGGTGTATGATTGGCCTGGGTGCTCCTGGCGTGAAGCCCCAGTCTTCTGGTCCTTCCCGAGCTCCTCTGGCCCCATGTCCCTCTGACCTATCGGGACAGGGTGTCAACGGCGACTTTGTTAAAAAAGTAGAGAAACGGTCGTACGTTTGTCCTTTTACCCCCACATAATGCCATATTGATGAATGGGAGAAACATAATCCAGTAATCTTGTGGCTCTGCCACCTCCATAATTCAGAGGAAGAAAGTGACCTCTGGAGCCAGTCACTTTAGAAGCTTCCTAAAGGAATTAGGATAGGGCAAGGCCTGGAAGGTTTGCGTAGCTAATACTTAGGCCATCCGAGAAGGGAAGGGCATTCTGTTGCTGAACAAGCGAACAATTGGCTGGTTTGTTCCATCTATCAACAGAAGGATAATTCATGATATTGCCAATCACCAGCGCTGGGCTGGATACAGAAACTGTGCACTTGCCTGACACAGAAGTCTGGCACCACCACCTACCCTTGTTTACATAGATCCATTTCCCCCTTATCCAGTACCCCCTGTACTGAGCTGTGTGCTTGGACAAAGCTAAATCAACTCAGCTTGAGCCCTTTGCCTGATGCTTAAGAGACAGCCCACTTCCACCCCTTCCACTGAGTGGCCCAGAGCAGTGCTGGAAAAGAATATAGAGGAAGAGAGGTAGGTTGGTTCTAGCTTAAGAAGGACTAACCAGAAAAAATGGAGTTGAGCTTCATGTGAAAAGAAGGAAAGAGGATTATGTACATCCCAAATATCAGGAACAGCTTGAGTAAAAGTGTGGAGGTAGTGATGGATGGCAGGTATGGAGAGAGTGAGAATGACTGGTGGGTCAGGTAGACCTGGGTGGGTAATGGGAGTTATTGTACTGAACAGAGCCAGTCATCCTGGGCTCCTACTTCTCATCCCTTCCCTCCCCTATATCCAGTCAGACACCAAGCCCTTTAGGAATCTGTTACCTGAATCTCCCAAATCCATTCCCTTCCTTTTAGCCCCTCTATGCTCTGGTCCAGGCCAGTATTCGTCACTTGGATTACTGCAGTAACCTGCTTGCTATAATTGTGTATGCAATCCATCCTCCACACTGCAGCCAGATCTTTCTAAAACTGATGATGTCGGTTTACTCCTTAAATCTTCGATGCCTAGCCCCTTGTTTAATTGTCACCAAATTAAACCCATATTCCTTAAATTGGTATTCTAGGCCAGCCATAATCTCAAACCTACTGATCTCCGCCCCTCTCCAGCTCCCCTTTACAAACTGTTCACTTCTATCAAACTGGACAATTTGCTATTTTCCAAATATGACCTTTTTGCATGTCTTTGTTAATGCTGTGACCTCTATTTATAATGCATAATGGAATCTCCCTCCTCACATCGTCTGTCAGATTCCTTCCTAGCCTTCAAAACAGCTTCCAAGAAGCCTTTTCTAATTTCACAGGACCCTCATTTGGCCCTGTCATTGCACTAATCACAGTATAATTTCTTTTGGTTCTTAGTTCATGAATCCTCTGCTTCTCTATTCCAAATTCCCTGTCAAATTCCCCCATGGAGAAGTCCCCCGTAAGTATACATCATGCAGCATCTGTATAAATCCACTGACTGAATGAATGAGATGGAGACTGAGGCAAGATGTATGAGGCCTTGAATGCTAGGATAAGGTATGAGCCTAGCAAAGGTCTAAATTGGCCCTCCTGTGTGGCCTGAATTTTCTCTCTGTTCCAGGTGGCATGGTATAACGCACTCCTGCCTCCAACTTTCCACCTACCCCTGCCAGGACCGACCCTGGCCTTCTTGGTACTCAGCACACCTGCCATGTTTGACCGGGCCCTCAAACCTTTCCTGCAGAGCTGCCGCCTCCAACACCTGATTGACCCTGTGGACCAGTGTGTGGCCTACCACTTGGGCCGCGTTAGAGAGGTGAGCAAGGTTCATATATTCCCCCAGCTTCCAAGCCTGTAGCCGCTTCCAGCTCTTTTAAGCTCAGTGCAGGACTAGAGCTACATAGAGCCAAGAGCCACTTCCCAGATAGGATATATCCTAAAGCCATCCCTGATATTGTGATCTCTCCCCATTCTGCTTCATTTTACCCCAGTTTCAGCTCCCTTCTCCTAGCAGACCCCCAGGTCTGGAATAAATCTCACCCTACTCTGATGGTCAATTAATTACATGAACCTCAAACCAGACTTTCCTTGGCCTCCAAGTGAAATAAGAATAAGCCTAGCATCCCCTAAGCATCTCTCACCTGTCTTAGCCCTAGACTGGAAGTTTTGTGCTGTCTTCGGGGCCTTTTGAGGACAGAACAGTATTTCCCCACTACATACACATACACATAAAATACATACACATACATTGGATCTCCCCAAAGCTGCGCCAGGTCTTCCTCCACACTGGGACTCTGGAAGGCAGAGACCAGTCACCCCTTATAATAAATTTTTTTTTAAGATTTATTTAGAGAGAGTGCAAGGAGGGGCAGAGCGAGAGAGTCTTAGGCGGACTTTGTGCTGAGGGTGGAGCCTGACACACCGGGCTCAGTCTCCAGCCCCTGAGAGACCTGAGCCGAAATCAAGAGTGACACTCAACCGAGTGCACCACCTAGGCGCCCCAGCCCCTCATCATGGAAGCTTCTGAGCAAGACCTTATTTCCCTTCAAACATGGGCCCTCCTGGACAGATCATTTTCTTCACAGTGGACCCCCGCACCCCCAAGTTTAAGGTCATGCTTTCCCTTCAAATGATTTCTGAGGACAAGATCTTATTAACAAATATTAGAGCTCTCTCGGGCAAAGTCATGATTCCTTTCGTGCTATTTGAAATGAGCTTCCATCTCTATCCCAGAACCTCCCAGAGTTGCAAATCGAAGTCATCGCTGACTACGAGGTACACCCCAATCGGCGCCCCAAGATTCTGGTCCAGACTGCAGCCCATGTGGCAGGGGCTGCTTACTACTACCAACGAAAAGATGTGGAGGCTGACCCCTGGGGGGACCAGGTCAGAGGGCAAGTATGAATGAGTAGGGGCTGGGAGAAAATAGTGAAGGCCCCTCAAGATACCAACTAACATTCTTCCACCTCCCCTGGGTAAAGGATTTGGTAGACACAACACCAGGGAAAGATGTCAGGTATTGGTGTCTGGATGTCAGGTCAGTCAGGAGCCCAATCCCACATGCTTTCCGGAGTCTACCTGGGAACAGAGGAGGTCAGAGAACCTAGTCTGTTCTTAAAATCTGGTTACAGGATGGAGGGGGCAGAGCAGTGATTAGGAGACCAGTGGTGAAGACTGGAAGTTGATGGAGGCTGTTTAAGGAACTCTCCTTCCAGCCAGAGTAAGCTCAAGAAAAGGGTTGTCCAGGAGAGGAAATGGGGGAGCCCAGCTACAAGAGTGGTTCAAATATGGAATCAGTGTCCTTTGAGAATTGAACAAGCCTAGTCTGCAATGATGGTAGTTGGACCTAGTGCCAAGTGACTTCCATGACGGTGCTTTTCTTTACTCTCTCCCAGCACATATCAGGTGTGTGCATACACCCCCGATATGGGGGCTGGTTTGCCATCAGAGGAGTGGTGCTGCTGCCAGGAATAGAGGTGCCAGATCTGACACCCACAAAACCCCTGGACTGTGTACCTAAGAGAGCTGACCGCATCACCTTGCTTGAAGGGTTTAATTTCCATTGGCGTGACTGGACATACCGGGATGCTGTGACACCACAGGAGCGCTACTCAGAAGAGCAGAAGGCCTACTTTTCTACTCCACCTGCCCAACGTTTAGCCTTCTTGGGCTTGGCCCAGCCCTCAGAGGATCCTAGCTCTACGTCTCCTGAGCTACCTTTTACAACACTCAGACCCAAAAAGCCCCAGAATCCCAGCAGAGCCCAGGGCTGGCTCAGCCCCAGTGTCTCACCACCCGCATCCCCTGGCCCCTGATATCCTCCCTCCCCTGGGATCCCTATTTATAAGTGGTACTTGCTGGGACTCGTTTTGCTTTTCGGCAAGGCAAGAGCTTTTATTTTGGATATATTTATTCTTGATAAAAGAATTCTAGTAGAGATCTTCAATGAAGATAAGGCTCTTGTCAAAACACAGAGATCCAGAATTCCCACCTGGCTTGGAATATGGGATTATTCCTGTTAGCATTTCTCTGCAGTGCTCTAAGATGCTAATTGTTACAAAGCCTTTCTAAAGGGAAATCATCCCCTAGTGGCATCTGCCTCATAGGCTTGTTGTGGGTAATGAATAAACACACAAAGCACTTCTGAAACAATGCCTGGCTTATTCAAGTGGTGTCCGTTGTCATTCAAAGCCCTGGGAATCCTGTACTGCTGCTCAGAGGTCTTGCTTGGAGGGGTAGGGATAGGCTGGAGTACCTGACAGGTGTCTGGGCAGAGTACAGAATACACGACAGACTGAGTTCTGAATCTTCCATAGCCACAAGGGCTCAGGAGGCACCCACCTTCTACCCAGACATCCCTCCCTCAGGACAATGAGATCAATGAGGGCCAAAAAAGGACTACCTTCAAATCAAGGCTAGGATCCAAGGAAGCCAAGAAGTGCTCAACACTGTGTTTTTTCTATTTTAAAGATTTTGAGGGGCGCCTGGGTGGCTCAGTCTTTAGCCTATAAACACTAGGGCTCTTTGTCTCCCCCACCCCCTTTTAGTTTCAAAGACTCTACTTCTGATCTTTTTACAAAGCCAGTACCAGGCAGGCATTTATCATAAGAGGCCAAGCTTCAAGTTCTCATACAGCACTCCCAGTAGTGTAAAGGTAAATGTCCAAGTAATCTCATGGGGCCTGAATCTAAAGCCTGCAATTTATGCTTTAACCTATAGCACAGATTGCAATGCTTTAGCCAACATTACCGCAGGTCTTGCTTTCTCCCCCCAGATACGGTGAAATTACGACCTTGGTTCAACTTCCTTTTCCTGTGTCTACTTGCATATCCCCCTGCCCCCAATGTAATTTTCTGATTCTGAGGCAGGTCTCACCCTCATTTTCTCCTAAAAAGAGAAAGCAGAGCGTAAATTCCTCTCAACATCAAAAGCCTAGTACCCCCCCACCCAAAATGAAGATTCAACAAGGTCTCAGTTCAAGTTTAATCGAAACAACAAAAGACAAAAAGTGATGCCCTGCTACTGTACATAACAGTTGGCCTGCCCCGTAACAGCTCAGGCCCTTCTCTCCAGAGGAAGAAAGGCTGGCCTCCCCAACCCCTGCAGGAAAGGCCTGGCCTGTCCCCATACCACATCTGCACAGTGTCTAAAGTTTTATGTTCTAAGCATGACAATAATACAAAAAAGATTGTTTTCATGGCCACCCACTGCAGCCCAGCCCTAAAATGACCCGGCGCTCACTTCTGCTTAGAGAAATATTCTTTGCTCTTCTGGACATCAGGCTTGATGGTATCACTGCCAGGCTTCCAGCCAGCTGGGCACACTGCAAGAGAAAAGTATTAAATTAATAACCTGCTCAGTTGTGAGCTCCACCTTCCTCCCATGAACAAATGGGAGACAAACGGACCAAGGGCTCAAAACCAAATCTGATACCTTGAAAGGCTGAACACTCTGGAACCAGGAAGCCTATGCTACAGTCTGAGATCCTTCAAGCCTTTTAGTGCAAGGCTGACTATAAACATGTTATTTAATCCTCACCATAGCCCTAATACTATTACACCTAAATTTATGCATGTAGCACCTGAAATTTAAAGAGTAACAGCTTCAATTGTATATGCTTTGTTCTAGAAATAATGTCTAAAGTATATATGGCAACACAACTATTAAAATTTGTTAACAGTAGATAGGTGGGTGAATGGGCATTTTTATTTCCTCAGTAATTTTATGTATGATTCACATATATATTTTATTTTTTTTTTTTAAGATTTTTATTTATTTATTCATGAGAGAGAGAGAGAGAGGCAGAGGGAGAAGCAGGCTCCCAAGGAGCAGAGAGCCCGATGCGGGACTCGATCCCAGGACTCTGGGATCATGACCTGAGCCGAAGGCAGACGCTCAACCATCTGAGCCACCCAGACACCCTCACATACATATTTTAAAAAGCCTTAAATGCTCTTCAACAAATGGTGCTAGGACCAGCTGGATTTCCACATGTAACCAGAATGAAGTAGACCCGTACTTCACACCACATACGAAAAATTAACTCGGGGGCACCTGGGTGGCTCACTTGAGCGGCCAACTCTTGGTTTCAGCTCAGGTCATGATCTCCTGGGTCTTGGGATGGGACCCCTACACTCAGCTGTCTGCTTGAGATTCTCTCTCCCCATCTCCCTCTGCCCCTCCCCTTTGTGCTCTCTAAAATAAATAAATCATGGGCGCCTGGGTGGTTCAGTCGTTGGGCGTTTGCCTTCAGCTTAGCTCATGGTCCCAGGGTCCTGGGGTCGGGCCCCACATCGGGCTCCCTGCTCAGCAGGAGGCCTGCTTCTCCCTCTCCCCCTGCTTGTGTTCCCTCTCTCGCTGTGTCTCTGTCAAATAAAAATAAAAATATCTTTAAATAAATCTTAAAGAATAAAAAACTTCATGACCTTGGATTTAGAAATGTATTCAATAATGAACAGTTAAATTGGACTTGATCAAAATTAAGAACTTTTGTACAAAGGACATTTTCAAAGAGTTAACACACAGAATGGGAGAAAATATTTACACATCGTATATCTGAGGAGAGATTAACAACCAAAATGTATAAAAAACTCCCACAATTCAACAGAAAAACAACCCAAGGGCGCAAGGGTGGCTCAGGTTAAGCATCTGCCTTTAGCTCAGGTCATGATCCTGGAGTCCCGAGATTGAGCCCAGCATAGGGCTCCCTGCTCAGTGGGGAGTCTGCTTCCCCCTCTACCCCTCACCCCACTCTTGTGATCTCGCTCTCAAATGAATACAATCTTTAAAAAAAACAGAGACAAAAAAAGACAGCCCAGTTCAAAATGGTCAAAGGACCTGAGCAAACATTTCTCCGAAGGGAACACAAAATGGTCAATAAGCATATGAAAATATGCTCAATATCACTAGTCATTACAGACATGCAAATCAAAAGCACAAGACACCTCTTCACACCCACCAGGATAGAGAGTATTAAAAAAAAAAAAAAGTGTTGGCAAGGTTGGAAAGAAACATTTAGTATTGCTGGTGGGAATGTGAAATGGTGCAGCTGCTGTAGAAAACAGTTTGGTGGGGCGCCTGGGTGGCTCAGTTGTTGAGCGTCTGCCTTCGGCTCAGGTCATGATCCCGGGGTCCTGGGATCGAGCCCCGCATCGGGCTCCCTGCTCAACGGGAAGCCTGCTTCTCCCTCTCCCACTCCCCCTGCTTGTATTCGCTCTCTCACTGTCAAATAAATAAATAAAATCTTTAAAAAAAAAAAAAAGAAAACAGTTTGGTAGTTCCTGAAGAAGCTGAACAGAATTACATGACCCGGCAATTACACTTCTAATGTAAATAACCAAAATAATTGGAAACAAAGATCCAGACACCTGCTTACCATTATTCTAGCAGCATTATTCACAATAGCCAAAAGGTGAAAACAATCCTGTGTTCTTCAACAGATGGATGAATACAAAATGATATATACATAAAATGGAATATTATTCAGCCTTTAAAGAATGGTTTTGATACCCACTGCAGCATGAACCTTGAGAACCTTGAATCCATTATGCTCAGTGAAAGAAACCAAACACAAATGGATATTGTTATGATTTCACTTACATGAAATATCTAGAATAGACAAACTCATAGACACAGAAAACAGAAGTTACCAAGGGCTGGAAGTAAAGGGGAATGAGAAGTTATTGCTTAATGGGTTATAGCTGGCTGGGATGAAACATCCAGAGAATATTGGTGATGGATGCACTACAACATTGTGTATGTAATTAATGCCACCAAACTGTACACTTAAATGACAAATTATGCCATATGTACTACATTAAAAAATTAAAAAAAAAACACTTTAATGACTTGTCCCCATACCAAGAAATAGGCTGTAAGTAAACAAAGCCAAGACTCTGTAAAACCACAAACACTAAACTGTTTCTTCCCACTGGAAGCCCTTGAAGGATCTAAAGAAAGCAACCCATTTGCCCCCTTAGTTTAACTCTGCCAACCTGGATAGCCTGAAGGGTAGGACTGACAGAGAAGGCCCTACTTGCACTAAGTAACTACTTTCTACTCCTTGGTAAACAAAGGTCTGAGTTTGAAGCTTTCATACCTTTATTATGCAGAAAAAGCATAGCCTTCCAACCTTTTCCTACAATCCTGAGCTAGCAACGCTCCTTGGGCTAACCTGAGAAGAGTAAGAGAAAGAAGGGAACCAATCTCCTGTTTTTCAATTCCATTTGCTCCACCAGTGGTCCACCGGTGCTAACAAAATCTTAAAAATATATATACGTACGGGCGCCTGGGGTGGCTCAAGATGGTTAAGCGTCTGCCTTCGGCTCAGGTCATGATCCCAGGATCCTGGGATCAAGCCCCCCATCGGGCTCCCTGCTCAGTGGGGAATCCAATAAAGGGCTTTGCCACGCCCCACCTCCTCTTTGTGCTGAATCTCACCCCCCAGCAGGGGGCAGTCTCAGGAGCTATCTGCTCCTTCAATGCACTAAGGTAAAGCCCACACATGCTTCTACAAATGGTGCCTTCGGATACTAGTTGCTCACTGATTCCTATTAGCCAACTCTAGCCAAGCCACCACTTTTGGGTCCCCTGAGCAGACACCACTGATTCGGACTCTTTAACAACTTTCACATTCTGTATCATAAGATCAGGTCTGACATGGGCCTTCGAAAACTAGTCTTAACTTTTATCACCTGAAGAAAGAAAATGAGATGTAGGTAAGGCAAATTCATCCAAGTACACCTGTGCACTTCATCTTACCTCAGCAGCACTTGATCACAACTATTTTGTCCTCAATTACATTAGCTTGGGAGGTTATGAGGTTCAAGATCTCCATTCCCCCATATACCCAGCTTCTGCAGCCTCAGTCCTTAAAAACTAAATTAAGTCTTAGTTAGGGTAAGGTTGTCTCATTCTGGCAACAACTATACACCAATGAGGGGGAAAAAGATCAAAAAGCTACAGCCTTACTAACTCAAAAGCTGGGATCAAGTAGTTTATCACAAAACTGTAATGAAAATATGAGGAAAGTACTAGTGCTGGAGAAATAGCACAAGGAAGGCCTACACTCTAGCAAATGCTAGATAAAAACCCCAAGTTGAATCTGCTAGGTCATGTGTAGATTTTAGTAGGACAAACTTATAGGGGCGCCT